CCCCCAGTGAAAACGCCAATGGTCCCCCTTGTACTGCCTTGTAAAAGCCCACGTTACAAACTCTTGCCTAGGAGCATCCAAGGAGACAAGACAGACAACAAATATATATTAATCAGAACAACATACCAAAGTTTATTGATTACTTCAAACAAAAGTTTCTGTAATGAAAAAAGAGCAAGTTGCATTCATAAAAGGTAACATTCACATTCAATTTCCTTTATATAAAGCAACATAAATGTATAAAATTGCATTTAAGTGAAAAAAATGTAAGGTTGCAGTCCTTTTTTTTGCAAGAAGCTGAAAATGTATCTTCTCATTGCCTGTATATAATTTACACTTTCTATATACTACATGGTTTTTAAAAAAAATCCATAGCTGGGAAATTGGATAAATGGTGCAGTATTAGGTAAGTTTTTCAACTGTGTGTATACAAATCCAATTTTAAGCTTTTATGCAATTCCAAGTCATTTATAATATTCTCATAACGATTAGGATTAGTTTTTGAAAAGTAGCTATGACTACACCAAGTTCCTCCGTTATCACATAACAGTTTCAGAGGGAATCTTCATTACTTTTCTTATCTTTCCCTGTCGCTAGCCAGTGATTAAACTTCAACGAATTATTATAAAAAAAACCAGCCTTTTTTCCTTCAAGTTTTTCCACCGATAAGCCTGTACTGACCTTTTAGCTCACTGGTGAGCACTGTAACAGCGCAGCGTGTATCGTGCGACGTGAACAACAATCACAGCATCCCTGTCGGATTACTGCCACTTCAGCATCCTGCTGGCTTATACCTTACAGTTACTATCACCACTTTTTCTTCCCTTCCCTAACCCCAAAAGGGGACTCCTGTTTCCCCCGATTTCACAAGTCATCCACAGCAATAGGAATTTCACTTCTGCCATTGCTGAAACGAGGAGGATCAGCTCTTCTGCAGGTCCAGGGCAGCCCGGCTGTCCCGGCGTCCCCAGCACTACACCGGTGCACTAGCCCAGGAAAACCTGCATTTTCCCAAAAGAGCTGCTAGCCAAGACATTTCACGTTAACTCCAACCCGCCTGTCAGCACGCGTGCCTGGGGTTTGAACGTACAGCTATTGCAATGGCTTGTTCCACCCTGAGACAGGACACTTGGAAATGGGAAGAGAAAGATTTGGTTCTCGGAAGGCTCCGTCTTAAAACAGGCTGCAGAAATTAGCCCGTTTTAAGTGGCTTTATTCGGACAGTTCACACATCGCACATACATGGCAAGCTTCGCTCTGTTCCCACTAACGTCAACAGCAAAACCTGCAGCTGAATTTCATGGGAACAGACTTTGACCCTAGGAGTAGAGTACGACACAAAACAAACTGAGAAGCAAGGTGTCAGGCTTGGGACCATTCGGGCTTGGAATGGTTTTGAATCGCAGGAATTAGGCATTTCAGTGCCCGCATTTTAAAGGTTATGTAAACACAAGTCAGCAACTGTATATTTAAGGAGAAAGGTTAGATTTGGCATATAAAGCGCATCTTCATCGTATTCATCGCATACTTGATCTGTAGGCACCACATTTTAGCAAGAAAAGTTGAGAATGGGCCAAGGTCTGCAAGTTGAATTCCAGGTCCACGAAATGAGTTAGGAAAAGGAAAAAAAAGAAGGGGGCGGAGGGGGAGGAAGCTTTGCCCATGGGACACATGCTGGAAGCGCAGCTCCTTACTTGCATGCAGCAAGGAGTCGAGCCGCGGTTGCTAACACGGTGCTAACGAACACCACTTGCATTGAGGCCAGTGCAGCGTGTATAATACAGTGCTCCTGTCCATACGTCCCCTCCCATGCTGGGTGATACAAGAGCAGCCACCGGCCATAGGGACCGTACGCACCCCTTTCCCACTCAGGTAAGGCCCATTGCAAAGTCCTTATGATGCACGCCAGAAGTTGCCTGCAGCTGATCCGCATCCTGCTCCCACCAGAGTCGAAGACAGACCTCAGGGGTAGCAGCCAGAGAGCAGGACTCGATTCTTCCGAAAATTAATAGTCTGCGATTCAGCGAAGTTTGAAGGGAATGTTCCATCTAGTCCCAAATTGTTGTTTCTTTGCATGTAATTGATGCAAAGCCTGAGAGAGCAGGAGCCGAACCCAGCCGCAGCACGGAGCTTGTTACTTCTGAAATGAGACTCGAAAGAAAGCTTCTCACAGCAGTTCCTCTGCATCGCTCTGCAGAGCGCCAGGGCCAGGGGCACTCAGCACGAGGGGGGACCTTCACACCGAACGGCGGTGGCACACAGGGTGCTCCGTCACTCCTTAGGACTTAACGTAACAAAAAAGCTGCTTTTTCCACATACGAAGTATCAAAGAATATTTTAAAAAAAAAAAAAATAGAGCATCAGGCATCTCACCTCTGCTGTGCATAACCCAAAGAGAAAAGTTCCCACGACCATGGCACAGGTAGATTTAAAAAGATCATGCCAATTTAAAAACCAAATAAAGTGTAAAATGAAATCAGGTTCATGTGTCCCTTTTATTTCTAAACCGGCTTCTTTTTTCTTAGTGCAAATAACTCAAGATGCAGTTTTATATGCCTGCAGGTTTACAGGCACAGGCCGTGTCCCTGGGACCATCCAAGGACCGCACTGTCACTCGGGCCTTCAAAGCGTTGAAGCAACTGCACAGTGCAGTAACGTAAGCACAACCACAGGAGCCCGGGCAAAAGGGCTGAAAGTCTGGCACCGCCCAACTTTTGAGACTCTTCCTCCCCACGAAAGCTTCCTTCCATCACGAACAGCCACAACACGAGGGAAAACGACCTTTTCTTCACCCTCCATCAGGAATAAACCCATCAGCAAACCGGCCAGGGGAGGATGCTCAGGCGCTTCCCAGCACCGCGGGTCTCCGCACGGATACCGCCGCTGCGTACGGACCGCAGACCGCTTCCAGCCATACCCAGAGGAGGGATATGAGACTGAACGCTTTGCACCGTCGGCGAAGATTTCTCCCGAATTTTCAAGTATTTCTGCCGCGTGCATCTGGCAATCCATCGCTGGGAGGGGGCAGCCCCCCGCCGAGGGGTCGCAGCCCCAGCACCAGGCGAGATGCTCGCAGGGCTGCAGCCAGCTTCTGCGCGAGAGGAGCAGGCTTCCCCCGGCGCCTTCGGCGGGGGCTGTTACTGGGTTTAAAGTCTGTGCTACTTCTTTGGTCAGGCAGAGCAAGAGACTTCGGCAGCTCTCTGCTGCCCTCGGACAGATCTGCAACAGGCAGAGGAAGCCCCCGTGTGAAACGGGGCTGGCATTGCTCGCTTGCACTTCGATTCATGCTGTTTTGAATGAACTTCTAAAGATGCTTTCTCAGCCTCCAATGACGTAGAATTTGGCAGCATTTTTGGGGGGGAGGGGGGTGGTGGGGAAGCCACAAGACCAAAGACAAACGGGAGCTGTGGGGCCAGTGCCCTGGCTACTGCTTTATCAGCATGGCTGCTTACTGTACTTGGTAATATTAAAGAGAACTGTCAGGTTAAAACCATGGTTTTTTCCTACAGCATGACAATACGCAGTGTTTGTATGGAGCACTTTAGAGTATCCCGAGAGGATATCTTTCTGCCAAATTAGTAACAGCATCTTCAGTCTTCACATAACCATTCTCTATACGTTTGTATGAGACTAACATAGGCAGATCAAAGGGGCCAGTCTGCAAAAATGAGAAGGAAAATGCACATGTATTGCAATTGTTACATTCCCAAACTCATAAACCTTTTCCTGTGTTATTTTTAGAAAAAAAAATACTCAGAATTTTATAGGAGAAGAAGAATGATTAGACCATGATAAAAGTGCCAAATCTCATTCACAACCAAATAACAGGATGGTAAATCAATTTGCACAACCTGCAAAATGCCGTATAACATCTAAAAGTAGCACCTGCCTCGCCGTCCCCCGCGGCTCCCGCCCTGCCCCAGTCCAGCCGCCTCCCGCACCAGTCTGCACCAGTCCACGGTAGCGGAGAGGCGAGCACCACCTAACGTCTGCGGGGAAGGAACGGCCGCGCGGCTCGCCGGCGATGCCCGGGCAAGCAGAAGCCCGGATTTATGCCAGACGCATTTGGAGCTCTGGCAAGGCTGGCTGTTGGACCTGCCATTCCGATTAAACTGATTTCTTTAGAAGCAGGCGCGGGCACATAGGTAGGAGGGGCTTGCAGAAAATTTGCAGTTTTACGTTTGCAGCGGACTCCGCTGTTACAGCTATGTAACATCTCACCTGAAAGCGAAATTGCGAATTCAATTAGGCACTTTTACTTTTTTATTCTGCTATAGGCTTACTACGATGTTTAAAATCAAGTAAACTTGTACTAGGATGCTCTCTGTGTGTGTATACACATACAGACACGGAGACATGCCTGCCGTACCGTATGTTGACGTACATAGACATGTTTAGTTTCAATCTATGCAGATGAATTAAAATGTACTTATTTCTATCTGACAGAACAGCATGCACCCTAGAAAAAGGGATTTTGGTACAATTCAGATGCAATACTGGAATCATTTTAATAGCTGAGACTTGAATACTTCACTGTAAATACATCAGTGTTAGCTTTTATAACCACTATTAGCACGATTCACTGACTGTATTCTCAGACTAAGTTGCCTGTTAATATTAGACTAAAATATCAGTTATATTGAAAGATTTGTTTACCTACTGCGAAATATTTCAGTTTGAGCTGCAAAATATTTCAGTTTGAGAAGATCTGTGCACACACAGGATTCTGAAAAGGCTGGATAGGACAACGTCCCCATATTAAAATGCATCCCAAGCATTGCATCTCCATTCCACAAGGACAGGTGCCCCACACCGATAGTCAAGAGGATTACAGGAACCATAGTTTAATTGATTTGGGGGGTTACGTTTGGTTAATCAATGCCTTTTAAACCCATCCCAACTCCTTCAGACAGGGTACCTGTTACAACACATTAGACTCATCTGAGAATGTTCTTAAAAGAAGTGGTCTGACAGAAGGTCTGGCCGACAATGAATCAGGTGCCTTCCTGCTGCTCTGCAACAGCGAGGCAAAAAGACTTACAGCACACGCGACACTCGCCCCTGCCTCACGGTCGAGCAATGTAAGACACACGCACACCTTTTTACGGCTAAGTCACATCGTAAGGGATGTAGCAATACACACTCCCTAAATACCACGGTGGTTAATACTGGCTGGGTTTTGCAGTGCAAGAGGCACGGAGGGTATTCAGAAACAAGCCCCGCTTCCCGAAACGGTTAACTTCTGGCTTGGAGGTTTACGCTACAGGTGCTTTCAAGGGAGGAGGAAACCATCCTTGATCTCCACGTAACCGGTATTTTTAAAATAGCGAGTAATACTGGAGATCCGCAGTGAAACCAAACACTAGGGACATGTATTCAAGGCACTCTGCTGTGGAGTAGCCCCACCATCCCCACGGTCAGCAAGTCCGAGACTGTCCCTCGTTGTGAAGGCTGAGTGCCGTGGCCTATTCACTTGTACAAAGAACAACGGTAGCACTAACAAGTGGGATGGACTGGGCAAGGCGGGCACTTGGGGAGCTCCTCCTAGATCAAACAAGTCTGAGCTGTTTGCCAAGTCATCTAGAGGATGATCAAAACTGAATCCTCTGTCCCACGCTTTAAAGAAGTTTGTATCTAGTCCATGAACACACACAACTACAGCGGGGAAGGGGGGTGTAACCAGCATTGGCAGCGTCCACCTCACCCGGACATCCCCAGCACGACCAGCTCACCCACCTGAGGTGCAGCAGGAGACCGAAAGGGAAGAGACAGACGAAATATTTAAGCAAAAGATTTAAATTAAAGCAAATGGGGGGTGGGGTGGGGGCAGGAAAGCAGGGTTTTGCTGGATGAGCAAATCTAAACACGGGTTTTCAGGAGTTAGGGGTTAGAGGGAGGAAAAAAGCAGTAGAGCAAGCAACACATAGTGACTCAGAAAGGAAATCACCTTATTCACTCCAAGAAAAGCTGTGATTGCTGGAAGTTTGAGAAAGCATGAAGATAGTGGATGTTCCTGAGGAAGGAAGGCGCTTCGTTACCTAGTTCACAACAGCACAAAAGACAGAAAATTGCAGTACAAGAAAGAGAAAGGCAGAAACCAAGGAAAACGCGAATGCGCCTTGCAGTTAAAAAAAAGGGGGGAAAAAAACAAAAAACATTTCCACGCAGAAGACTGAATAAAGACTGAGCAGAGCTGATGTGTTGTGTTATAGAGAACTCGGGGTGAAACCCGGTCCCCTTAAGGTCAAGGGCAAATGCCCATCGACCTGGCCTCAGTCCATCCTCCTCTTCCAGAGGGACCCTCAGCTGCCAAGTTGGGGGTTCAGGCACCTAAATAACAACCCTAATAATTTTTTTTTTTTCATTTAATGCTCCCTTTGGGAAACTGATGGGGTTTTTTTTCCCCAATATTAAGGTCAGGATCCTCAAAAAGGGTCTTGATTTGAAATCATCTACCTGATCTTAGATACCTTTAAAAATCAGGTGACTAACTTCAGCGTCTGACCGCTGAGAGAGTCATCTAGAGCTGGTATCTGCTTCAGGCGTTTTATAAAGCTCTTACTCAAAAATGTACATTTAAATATGGCTCAGCCTGTGTTTAGTTTGGCATGCACATATAAAGAGACTTTTTTAGTTGACACTTACTTTGCTAAATGATTTCACAAGAGCCTTTTTTTAATGCATATAAAGCACTCTTGGAAGCAAGTATTACATGAGGGAACAGATCTTCTGGCCATCAGCTGAAGGCAAAAATGGGTCACCTCTCAGGTGAGTTGAGCTGGGGCTTGGTAACCCCCAGGTCACCCTTCCAGGTCACTGTCCTTGAACTGTCCTATGTCGGCAGCTGAGAGTGACTTGCTCCCAGCCTATTCAATAGGGGTGTCAAGCTAGAAACTATTAAATCATACTTAATTGGAAGAAATTACATGGAGCCTCAAAGAATTCAACCATACTTCTTTTACCATCTCTATTGCTTTCAACTTCCATGGTTTGGGGGTTTTTTTGCCTTGCAGATATGTGTTTTACTTCACTGATACTGTGCCAAACTTGTACTTCCAATGTTACGGGAGAAGAAAACCTCTACTACTTCATTGGATTTTTTTTTTTTTTAGTCGAGATAATCATAATTTTTAAATAAGGACCAAAGATAACAAGTTATCCCAAGTGAGGAAAATGCACTGAAACCTCATGGGATATGAGACCTTCAAGGAGAGAAGCCTGTTTTGAACCTCAGTATTTGGAAGGTCATCCCATGGTTTCCTGGGACACGGTCAGACCAGCTGGGCACCGGCCTGCCGGTACCACCGTGCTGGTCCGGGACACGGCTGGCAGGGCAGG